ACAAGGAAACCATCACTACAAGAAAGAATATTATGAGAGTCACATGAAAGTACAAAAATGTTACTGACATCTTTATTGCCTTCTGCCCTTATTTTCCTCCTGTGGTAAGGGTCCTCAGTCTTCTCATCAGCCCCCCAAACAAGCTTGTGACAAACGGTGAATGATTGGTTAAGTTGTATCACTCTCATACATAACTATCCTTATTTTCTGATGGCTGCACGTATATATCTGATATTCAGGAGTTGGTCAATACACGTTGGATGGATGAATGAAGGAATGAATGAACTAACAAATGAATGTTAAGCTCACAAACATTTTATTGATTTTCTGATAGCTGCTATGAATATAAAATGGAATGTAATCTTTAATTTCTTAAGCTCAGAAGACTATGCCACTCAGATACATCTAAACTACATTTTGTTTCCAAAATAGAGTTTGTTATAATTAACGTGTTTTAAAAATGTAACTCAGAAGTATGCTCCTTTCTAAGGACTCCTCAGGATAATTAGCTCTGCCTCTGAGGAAGCTCTATAAGATTTTTAAAGTTTAAAGTCTTTACCATTTATTGAAATCCTGCTGTAGGCAAAACACTGAAAACACTGCCTTAGTTGCTGAAAGGGGTATAGAGATGACTAAGCCCCATTTCTGTCCTCCAGTTGCTTGCACTCTAGAGGAATTACCCCAGAGTCACAAGCTTGACACTGACATCTAGCAACTAGAAAAGTCTATTTATTCCCGGTGACATTTGCCATCCTCTGAGGATCCAGAGGAGTAAAATGTTTTCAACCATATACATACTTGGAATTAATGTTTTGATTCCTTTGGCCCTTCTTAAAATGATCATTTCTTCAAGAATCGAAAGACCTAGAATCTCTGAAATTTCAAATGACTTGCATGATAGCACACCTTTAAATCAGTTTTCACAAGGACTACATTAGGAAACCAAAATGTAGCACAGGTTTTAGAAGACATTGGTCCTTGTGCCTCCCAGGATAACATGCAATTGAGTTCTCTACAACTCTGTGTTCACTAAAAATCGAGAAAGCCTCCTAAGAAAATCAAGCCAAGATGATCACTCAAGCTCTGTGCCCAGTGCAGTGCATCCCAGAACATTTGCTTATGATTCAGAGTTACGGTGGAAGAGCAAAGGCTGGTTCTAACTCAAGACTGAGCCAATTAAAGAGGCTCTCAGTTAGGATCTGCGGTACTCGTGGGAAAAGACCACTTGGTAAACATGTGAGAGGCCTTGTGAGCTGGTGACTGAACAATCATGGGAGTTCCAAGTGTGCCTGTGATGTGCTATGTGGCTGAGAACTTAGTCCCTTTGAATTTCTTCTTCCCCATCAACATGTCAAAAGTGATTTATTAGTAGCTCTGAATGTTCTAATATATTTATTGATGCTGTTAATAGAATTTTGTCCAGTTGCTCTGGCAAGGGACTCTCCTGTTATAACCAGGGCCTGGCTATACACACTCCTGCTCAAGGTTTGGTCCTTACAAGTGAGTGATCTGGGGAAATTCTTTATGCTGGTTTCAGGGGGCCAGATTCCCAGTTGGAACTCATTACTACATTCTGGAAATACCCTCCTCCCAATTCTATTACTCTTAGCATATAACCACATACAATCACTCCAAGACAAATGTGTGCTGTTTTTTGTTTGTTTGTTTGTTTTTTCATTATTCTCCTCCAGAAGTGAGTACACTAAGAGCAAAAATAAAACATAATGGGGCCGGCCAGGTGGCTCAGTTGGTTAGAGTGCAAGCTCTGAGCAGCAGGGATGCCAGTTTGTTTCCCAAATGGGATGGTGGGCTGCGTCCACCCCCACTCCCCAGTAACTAAATTGGAAGTGGCTTGAAGCTGAGACTGCGCACCCCACAACTAAGATTGAAGGACTACAACTTGACTTGGAGCTGATGGGTCCTGGGAAAACACAATGTTCCCTTTCCCCAATTCCCCAACACTGTTCCCTCCCCCAATTCCCCAATAAAACGTTAAAAAAAAAAAGAAAAGTAAAACAACGCAGAAAGTGAACCCTATAACTATAGTCTGGACCTTATAGACAGGCAAAAGTCAATGAGGCTATTTCTGGGAGCAGCAACTCTGGCAGGATGTTATGTTGAGGGTCGAACATTTAAATCTATGACACTACTTGTGGAAAATAAACTGGCAAAACAAATTCAAACTGATGACATCATTCCGGCTGTGTTTATACCACACCAGTAAAACGAGCTGGGAAAACAAAAGTTGAATCGACTTGACTGTCAAGATGACACAAATTACGGCTGGTCTGCTGGTTTTATTATTTTTTTCAAAAAAAAAATACCAGAATCAAATAATTATTTAAGTAAATGTTATTACCTAGTTGTTCTGCAAACATGTGATGAATGACATTAACATGTTTAAATGACTATCAACCCAGTTATTGATACATAAACACACCATCCGTAAAACTCTTTTATGTTGTTTATTTCAAATATTCCCTGATAGACTAAAAGATGTCAAATGACTAAAAGGCCTAGAAAACTAGACACTGCCTAGTATGTGTGCTTGGTGACAAGGCTAATGTTCCACTTTTAAGCAGCCAAATATGCTGTTTACGTCATTTTCAACTGCCTCACATTCGTGAGGAAAACAAGTTCCTCCTTTAAACCCAATTGACCCTTGGGGCAACATTCAAATCCCCAAAGTCATAATCTGCCACCCAAACCTAGTAACAGGGATAAGCAAGAGGGACAATCAAGCCATCAGGAACAAAGCTGGCCCAGAGAGATGCTTGCAGAACAAGCCCAACTCAGAATAATGCTCCTGCTCACGGACATTATTATGACAATCTTCCCTTTTTGCACATGCAGGGAGTCTTTCATCTTCCAGATTTGCAAATACTGGCACTTTAATCCTCACAACATCCTTGTGAGCTAGGCAGGTGGTACCTGTTATGATCCCTCATATTAAAGATGGAAAGGTGATAATGATGGTAATAAAAATTAAAGCACATCAAACAGTATCAGCTCCATCACATCAAAAGACCCATGGCTTTCCCAGGGGAAAAAAAAGAAGGGAAAAGTGGAAACTGTCAAATGTTTTCTCATCTGTTTTACTAAGTTTTACACCGCTGCTAAGGCATGACTAGTTTTGAAAGTCTAAGGTATAAAGAGTTTCATTATTACATTGTTCAAAGGGGCAGAACGCTCTCTTGGGAAGTCAGGCATTCTTTCTTATTTATGAAAAACACCAGCAGAGTTGAGTCAAGAAATGTTCTCTTGATTCCATCTAGTCATCTAGCTGCTCCTTAGCCCAGTTTGAGGAGGTGGTGACATTCAGCCTAAGAGACTGGATAAACCTCCTCCTGGGAGCCAGAGAATGGCTCCTGGAGGACCTTTGCAGAGGAAAGACTTCTAGACACCCAAAGCAGCGTATACCTACCAGTTCCCTGGGGAATGAAGACTGGAAATTGTTCCTCCCTTTGGGTCTTAAAAGCCAATGTAAAATTGAACATACCCCCCATAGACCCACAGAATGGAAATAAAAATCAAGACCTGGCCTGACAGTGAGGAGGAATCACAGAAGGGGCCCAGGTGCACTTTCTTGGGGACTCACAGAGAGTGTTTCTCTGAGATTTCTCCCGTGTTTCAACAAGTCCTTTGCCTCCCGGATGAGGGAGGAAAAAGAAAAAGGGTTCCTGCTGCCTACGCCATTCCCTTCACAGGTTGGGGCCTGTGACAGAGCTCCCTTGCGCAGCAGGGAGCCCAGGCACTAAACTTTGGTGGGGATTTTCAGGTAAGACACTCACTGCACTCCTGATGGAGCAAAGCACTGCAGCATCCCCACCACCTGAGCAATTGTCCAGAGCGCCTCTCCTCTCC